ACACACACACACACACACACACACACACACACACACACACACACACACACACACACACACACACACACACACACACACAGCAGTAGAATGGCCGCGCTCAAACGCCCGCGCCTCCTATCTCAAGCCGTTGATGCTTCTCTCGCGTCACGATCCTGTGTATTGTTGACTTTATACGAGCGTCTTTATATACGAGGGGAACATTAGTCACTCGTTTGACTTGTAAGTCCGCCTGGCGATCGGTTGTCGCCGTAAGGAGTTGTGTGGGGGTAAGCGCTGTTAGAATAAACGCTGTTATAGGATCAACGCTGGTGGCTCTCCTTGCCCTCGCATGTCGCTTTCGACGTAATTTCATTGGAATATGTCGTTGATAAACCGAACTGTAGGTGTAGATGTGGGGTGTCTGTGCAGCTACGTACGTACACGTGCGTGCGTGCGCGCGCTTACCTATGCGTGCGTGCATGTGCGTGTGCAAGCACGTGTACTTGTGCGTGTATGTATGTGCGTGTGTGAGTGTGTGAGTGAGGTGTGGGGATGGCGAAACGGGTAATTCGGGGAAACAGTTCGCGCGTCGATACCACGCTCCCACCTCCAACGACAGTACTCTGCAATATCTCTCTCTCTCTCTCTCTCTCTCTCTTCCTCTCTCTCTCTCTCTCTCTTTCTCCTCTCTCTCTCTCTTTGAATACGGGCATTTGTCTGTAGCAAGAAACCTTTCGTACACAATGTACGAGAGAAAAGAGCGCGCATATACAACATTCCCACGACGATGACGACCACCACCACCACCCACAGTACTCTATACCCCCCCACCACCCCCCACACACACGAAGGAATCTCTTAGACATTGTCACTCACCTCTGTCTCTTCGAACGCGGGCATGTTGCTCGAATGCATGTCGGACGTCCGCGTCGGTATCGACATCGTTCCCGTCTGCATGAGGATGTCCGGCCGTCGCACGTCGTACGGATGACGCGTGTCGTACGGATTTCCGGACAGCGTCGGCACGCTGCGAAACAGCGGCGCGTCATCGTCGCGTGAGCTGAAGCCACGCGTCGTCTGCTGCAGGCCCGAGTAGTGCTGCTGCGCCGGGTGCAAGCTCCCGAAGCCGTACGACTCGGCATTGATGGGGTGCGGCTGGTAGATGTCGATAGGCTGCTGCGGAAGGGCGTGGCCGGCGGGCGGCGGGAAGTAGGGCGGCTGGAAGTCGTTGCTGGGCGTGTGCGAGAGACGCGGCGCCGACGAGAACGACGACGTACTGACGGCTGTGCCGAGCGACGTCCCGCCACTGAGTTGACCAAGACTAGAGACGTTGTGGCCGACCAGTTCACGACCTCGCTCCTGCAACAAACACGCAAACAATAAACATATTATAAACATACACGAATGAGAGGTAGTACATGATCTCGCTTCTGCATGCAATAAACACACAAACAACAAACAGCCCTAAAGAGGGCGCCCCCATAGGAACAACTGCTAAGGACTAACTACGATTTGTCGATACCGAACCCAGTAACACGAAACCGTCGTTATTGTTATATTAACTTTAGAGGGCGCTACCATCGTCATTGTTATATTATCGTTAGAGGGCGCAACTATCGTCATTGTTATATTATCGTTAGATGGCGCTACTATCGTCATTGTTATATTATCGTTAGAGGGCGCTAACATCGTTATGTTATATTATCGTTAGAGGACGCTACCATCGTTATTGTTATATTATCGCTAGAGGGCGCTAACATGGTCCTCGTCGCGTCGCCAGTAAAGGGCGCCGCCGTCGTTCACGCTTTATCATCACGAGAGGGCGCCGCGATCGTTCTCGTTATATCACTACGAGAGGCGCTACCAACAGTCTTGTCATATCATCACGAGAGGGCGTTAATACCCGGCGAACTACTATGGATTAACTACGCCTGGTTAATACAGCGACACGTAACCATGAACACTCCATTAAATCATCACAAGTACATAACACACTAAACATATATGTATATAGACATATATATATTTCGTACGTAATACAAAATACATAATACAGATGTGATAATAATATAGTATCATGTATCGCGACCGTGTGAGTATCAACAGAATATAAACTCACGTGTTATTGTGTTTATATTCACACACACACCCACACTCGTTTTAATTATGGCGCGAAACGGTCTCCACGCCGGTCGTCACTGATAGTTGCTTGTGTACGCATTGAAAATCCCCTCATAACATGGGTGCTGCCCGGAGGCAGATAATGGCTTCATGCCGAGTAAACACAATTAGAAACATATACACAAACACGCATGCAAACACAAACATCAGCACGAGCAAACGCGAACACAAACAAACACGAACACAAGCACAATAACCAGCACGAACACGAGCACAAACACGAACACGAACACGAACACAAACACGAACACGAGCACAAACACAAATACGAACACGAGAACAAACACGAACACGAACACAAACACAAATACAAAGACGAGAACAAAAACGAACACGAACAAAAACACAAATACGAGAAGCCAGAGAAGGAGAAAGCAAAGAAGAGAGTCGGAATAGTGGGAGAGTCAGCAAGGGGGAAAAGAAGCAGTAGACAGGGAGGGAAAGAGATAAGGGGAGTAAGGAAGGTAGGGAGAGGGAAGAGGTGGAGACAGGGCGGGTTTCAGCGGTACGGGGAGTAAGGCCAGTGAGTGAGGGAGGGGTGATGGAGCAAGGCAGCCATGTGCGGCAGGATGTGAGGCAAGATCGAGGCTGCACGCGCGCGCATAAGCCGACTTTGTCCACTATTTACATGCATCATGTCAACCATGCTCGGGGCAATACACTTCATTATAGCGCGCGATTACTGCTAGCGACAATTGCGTTGAGCGTTTGCTGCTGCTGCTGCTGCTGGTGGTGGTGGTGGTGCTGGTGGTAGTGGTGTAACGAGTAGTTAACTCGTCGCAGACTGTCACGCCAAGCGCTGCTCGTCTCTCGCGGAAAGGTTTCACACTAGGTGGCGCTGTCGTTTCTCTCTCTCTCCCACAAAGGTTATATAGGGCCGTTCGCGGGGGGGAGCCGAGGAAACTGCTCGAGTCATACTCGTGATTATCTCGGCATTTTACCGGGCGAAATTACTACATGTAACGTAATGACTTTGTGTACTGCACCGTTATAAGTCCAATTTCCCCTAATAACGTCGCTATCGGAAAATAATCTGACAGGAGAAACCGCTTTTATTTCTGTTATCACGACGGCATTATCAGACAATTTCTGGGAAGAAGATTATGCCTGACGCGCTTGTTATCCATTAATTTGCTCACTGCCAGAAAATTATCTGCTGTCTTTGGAAAGTAGCAGAAATTTTTTTATAGAAGCGAGTGCACTGGCTTCTTTTCTTGATTGCCTTCCGCTAGTATGCCTGCTTGTTTGGCTTCAGGCAAGCTGCCTGCGTGCCTGCGTGCCTGCGTGCCTGCGTGCCTGCCTACCTGCCAGCGTACATGCATGCCTGCTTGTCTGTCTGTCTGCCTGCCTGCGGGCGTGCGTGCGTGCGTGCGTGCGTGCGTGCGTGCCTGCTTGCCTGCCTGCCTGCCTGCCTGCCTGCGTGCGTGCCTGCTTGCGTGCGTGCCTGCCTGCGTGCCTGCCTGCCTGCCTGCGTGCGTGCGTGCGTGCGTGCGTGCCTGCCTGCCTGCTTGCCTGCGTGCCAGCCTGCCTGTCTGCCTGCCTGCCTGCCTGCGTGCCGGCCTGCGTGCCAGCCTGCCTGCCTGCCTGCCTACTTACCTGCCTGCCTGCTTGTCTGCCTGCGTGCCTGCCGGCCTGCCTGCCTGCCTGCCTGCCTGCTTGCTTGCCTGACTGCCTGCCTACCTGCCTGCCTACCTTCCTACCTACCTACCTGCATACCTGCCTGTCTGCCTGCCAGCTTACCTACCTGCCTGCCAGCCTGTCATTACACTGTATTTCGTACATACGCGTAGCTGCACAAAGCCCACACACCGATGATGATGATGACGTAGACAGATGGGCGATACGCCCCGTAGCTAAGGTGCTCACTCGCTCGCTCGTGCGGCAGCAGCAGCAGCAGCAGCAGCAGCGGCGGCGGCGGCCATAAAGGGATGCGAGTGCACGCGTCCGGCGTTCGTCAGCCCACTAGCCATAAACACGGTTCAATAAAGGTTATTACCACCTCGCATTTCGCGTCTAAAGACCTACTGGAGACCGAAGTTACGAGCATTTATGACATACATGCCGACGTCGGCGGCGCTCGGCCATTAAAAGCAATGCGGCGTCGTCGTCGCCGACGTCTTCCCGCGTGCAGTAGGCCTACATCGTAACCGGCACTTAGTCGCTGCCGCTAACGAGATACACCGATCGCATCATCATCATCATCATCATCGTCATCATCATCATCGTTATCAGCATCATCGTCATCATCATCGTCGTCATCGTCATTATCAGCATCGTCATCATCATCACCATCACCATCAGCATCGTCATCATCATCACCATCACCATCACCATCGTCATCATCATCAGCAGCAGCAGCAGCAGCAGCATCGTCATCATCATCAGTATCATCATCATTATCGTCAGCATAGTCATTGGCGCAGGTGTAATTAAACACGCGCGCTGAATCATAGACGGTCCCCCGACGTCGCGCCGCACGTGCTACATGCGTAATCGGATATGCGACGTCCCGCTCCGCCCGGGGCTGCCGTCAGGGGGCGCGGCGGTGACGGCGGAGAGATAGCGCGTTATTTCTGCTTCGTCGTCGCGCGTCGCGGCGGTGACGGCGGTGACTTCGTTTGCGTTTGATGTCATTTGCGCGTTGGCGCGGGAGAGTTTACGGCTTCCCTATCAGCGTGTAAAATGCCGAGCGAACGCGCGCGCGCGCTGATGTACCCCTGATTCACAGCGCGTTTAGTCATCCTCTGCTGCTGCTGCTGCTGCTGCTGCTGCTGCTGCCGCTGCTGCTGATGCTGATGCTGATGCTGCTGCTGCTGCGGCTGCTGCTACTGCTGCTGCTGGGGATGATAATGATGATGATGCTGATGCTGCTGCTGATGATGATGATGGTGATGATGATGATGCTGCCGCTGTTGCTACTGCTGCTACTGCTGCTGCTACTGCTACTACTACTACTGCTACTGCTGCTGCTGCTGCTGCTACTGCTACTGCTGCTGCTGCTGCTGCTGCTGCTGCTGCTACTGCTGCTGCTGCTGCTGCTACTGCTGCTGCTACTGCTACTACTACTACTGCTACTGCTGCTACTGCTTGATGAAGCCATCGCTGGTAAAACGGCGTGCGGCGCTCAGCGCGTTGACAGATGATTAGTGCGATGATGGGCAGAGAGAATACAAGACTTTATCTAAACGAGCCAAATGTGCGCGTTTCCACACGCAGCTCAGTTGCACGGTCAGCGAGCAATTTATTCTCGCAGTAGCAGTAGTAGCAGTAGCAGTAGCAGTAGCAGCAGCAGCAGCAGTAGTAGTAGTAGCAGCAGCAGTAGTAGCAGTAGCAGTAGCAGTAGCAGTAGCAGTAGCTATAGCAGTAGCAGTAGCAATAGCAATAGCAATAGCA